GCCTTCACCCTTGCTACAGCCGAGGAATGCAGGAGCTCTGGGGAAATCAGACACTGAAGGCCTGCATCTCTGGTGCTCAGGGTCAGTGAAGGACACAGGGAGAGGGCCTTGGAGCGGGGAGCTTGGCAGTTGGCAGCGTTCAGCGAAGGGGCTCAGGCTGAGGCTTGGCACAGCCCCAATGACAGGGCACTGATAAGGAGAGGGGTTGGAGCACTGGAACAGACAGGGCTGCTCTGTGCCCAGCTGGGGTGGGGGCTGCGCTGTTCAGCACACCACCTGCTACCACCATCCCCAGCCCCATGGTTCACAGCAGCCCCAGACCCTTGTGCCCAGCACTGAGCAGCTCCACATTGTGCCCAGTCTCAGTCCTGCAGTCCCCCAGAGGTGGCTACTCCCACCCAAGGTCCCTGGCACCCTCCTTTGCTCCCATCTTCCTCCAGGGGCTGAGCCTAAGAACCCCATTCCTAACTGCAGGGCTCCTGTGGGAGAGGTGACCTGGCTCCACATACCAGCCCCTCCACCCTTGGCAAATGCAGCAGGGGTGACAAAAGATAATCTTATCACCAAAGCAGGAAGTTGCCAGTTGGGCAGGGCTGGAGGCAGGCACCTAGGTCAGAGGCAGGCAGGGAGTGGGGCCTTCTACCTCTAAGGGGAAGCTGGCTCTGATCTAGCCCAGGGCAGAGCACTGGCTGCCTCAAGGAGGTAGCAATGGAGCAGAGGCCTTTCTTCTCCAGCAGGCACCAGTATTGGATCCACCGCTAGGTCAGACATGGGTCAAGTGTCCCAGCCAGGGAGCAGGACAGCACCCTCCGCTCCACTCCCAGCACACACAGCTGGGGCGCTCCTGCAGATAGATGCTCTGAGCTCTGTGAGCCAGGACTAATCCTGCTGGGCAGGGAGCCGAGTGTGGAGCAGGTGAGGGATCAGAGGCGGAGCAGTCCCACAGGTATGTGGCTGCCTCTCTCACAAAGGCAGCAAAATCCATGCAGGGTGATAAGCCAGGTGCTGGCCATGTTGGTGCCAACCATGGTCCCCACCCCCAACCAGGATAACAGCACACAGGCCTGGGTTGCTAGCAGCTCTGTGGCCTCACCACCTGCCCCGAGACAGCCCAACAGCTGTGAACAGGCCTGCAACAGGCAGCATCAGTGCTGGCAAGCCAATTCTGACTTCATACAGATGCAGCCATGCTGTCAGAGTTCACTTAGAAGGGCCAGGCACACAGCCACCAACCCAGGCCCTTGAGACTAGGGGGTCCCAACTGGAGAGGAACCCCCTCCTCTCCCGTGATTTCTCAGCAGAGAAGTGCAACCAGCCATTCCCTCCTCAGCTCAGGGAAGGCCATGGCCTCGTCACGGAGACAGCCACAGTGGAGATGTCCACCCTATGAAGATATCCCCCCAGCCCCCACTGGGACTGAAGACTTTTCCTCCCTCCCTACATACTTGCATGAATGCACTCACTTTAACACCTCCCATTGGGCTTGCACCCTGGCACAAGCCTTTAATACCATGTACATAGAAAAAAAGACACCAAGAAGGGGGCCCAGCCCCTCCTAGTCTGGTCATAGCCCCAAAGGCTGAGAGGAAGGAAGCCTTTCTTACTCTTTCAGCTTCCCATTGCTTGGCTCCAGGAAGGGATTAGTAAAAGGGTAGAGGCTGTGGTGGAGGCTGCTGTGGTGATGAGGAGGCCCGTTCATAGAGTTGGCATGAATGTGACCCCTGTGCTAATGGAGAAGAAAACCCTGCACCCCAAGAATGGCTTGAGTGTGCAAGTGTGTGCAGGGTGCCCCTGCCTTGGAACCACATGGACCAGTGTGTCACAAGGCCCATGTGCAGGCAGCTCACATGGAATATACATGTTCTTCTCTCACTCATGTAAACATGGGCACAGGCTGGGAAGGATGATGGTGGATCAGTGGGGGCACTAAGCTACATCCTAAAGAACCCCTCCCTACCCCTCCC